ATTAATTTGAGATTTGTGGGTCACACTTTGGATGCTTCCAAACCCAAAACAACAGCTCCCTTCCATATCTATCATCTGATTTATACAGCAGGATTCTCCCCACTCTTAAGACCAAGTCTCTCAGTGCTTCCGAACCTGAAATCAATGATTTGATAAAAGCCACTGATTTTGTTTAACTTTGATTCTTTGACTGTGACTATGTAAGTGTATTCCTTGTGACTCTTATGTATTGTATATGTACGCATTAATCATTTTTTCAATGTGTTTACATACATTTTACTCCTTTTTCATTTTACTTTATGCTTTTTTCTTTTTTTTTTAGTTCTGTGATAAGATATATACTTTTCTCAAACATTGTTTACATAAAGCAAAAATAAATCTCTAGAACAGTCCCCTGTGGGACACCCATCAAACATTCTTCAATCCCAGAATTAACTTCAATCCTAGTACCACCAGAGTTTAATGACGTATAGCTACATACTGCTTGCTGTTTGTGAGGAAGATCCGCAATCATTCATATGCCATAACATGCCAGCCTATTCAATAGAGTATCATGTTCGAGACGGTCGAAAGCCCTGCTGAGGTCACAGAAGACCCCAACAGGGCTCTCCCTGCATCAACAAAGTGAACAACTTCATCATAGGATGTATGGATAGCAGAGTTTGTATACTAGCCTGAAAACCATGCTGTTACTCGTCGAGTAGCTTATTTTCCCCAACAAACTTCAGCAGTCGATCCAAAAGTCCATATTCCAGTAATTTAGAAAAAGAGAAGAAAAAAGTACTAAGTCTATAATTCTCCACTGAATGCATCATTCTTTTTATATAAAGTTAAACTCTTTCCAATTTTCAATATATAACTGTCCAATACAAAGAGATGAATTCATTAAAAAAGACATAGGGTGAAGAATCTCAGGCAGAACTTCATGTATCAAAAAGTTGGGCACCTCATCAAGACCAGATTATTTTTTCATTTTTAAGCCTCTCCATGATAAGCTTGTAAAATTCTTCCTCCAAAAAAGGAACTAAGTGAAGTGTACTTCCTTGATATGATTGTCCGCCAGGTAGAAAAAGGCTTTTTATTATTAAAAAACAATGTTGACTTGGTTAAAAGGGTTCTTCTTGTTTTCAGCGAGAAGGTTGTTTCAGGCAAGTAGAATCCTGACTTGTAATCTACTTCTAAAAGTAGTTATCCAATATTGTAAATAGTATAATCATTATATAACTTTCTCATTAATTTTATATGATATTATTATTATATTTTTATTTGTCATGACCATGGCTTATTTCCTAATTGCTTAGAAAATGACTAGATTGTATTATTTGACTTTGGCAATGTTGAATCTCGCTGATAGGCCAAAAAACGTTGTAGCTTATTCAAACCTCATCGTTGTATGTTTTTCGACATTTTTGGTATCAGTCAAAAATATATATTTCTTGGTAATGTTATTGCGCGTTTCTCGACTGTATCGTTATTATGGCGTCCATTATGACCCTATTTTTCATTAACAGATAAAGTTTATATTCCAATCTTCTTTGAGGTTCATGGTTTTCAAACATTGTCTTTCATAGTCATAACTTCAGCTTCCGGATGCTCATTAGTAAAAATGCTGTGTATATTACAGCAAATGTCATTATTTGAATATTCATTACGACATAGATGAGTATTTGCTTCATCTTATTATACAATGCGTTCACTTACCCCCAGGAATAAATGAAGCTAATTGGAAATGCAAATAAAAGCTACATGCTACATGCTATGCAAATTTATGTCTAATTATGGGTATTTTTGGACTATTCACTGCTTTACTGGTATTATCTCATTATGTTTGCCAGTTTCACCTTATTTGCCCGAAGGTTCATCACCCTGGGGTAATAGTTGTAATTAGTGATGGCAGACATTTCACGAACTGTGACTTTGTAACTGGTATCTATTTCTTGGATTGATTGATTCCTAAGTCACGGATCACGCTGTTAGCAACTAGCGTGAAAAAGCATGACGTGAGTACGACTTCGGGATCTAGGTACTTTACGGCGACATCGTTAATGTTTGAGTGTGATTATGATGCGAATGCGCCCTAGTTGGTAAGGTTGAAAATCATATACCACCGTAGGATTACCACATGGCCTGGAAGCGATATGGTTGTATTGTGGTGTTTTGCTCATCATCATAGATTACTGTGAGCTCGTAACATTTCCGCTAGCTCCCGAAAATGCAATTTTCACTAAAAATACTATTTTCCGTATGACACTACACATGATATGATAATATAACACACAATACTTTTAACACACAGGTTACGTTGCGATCCGTTCTCCATGAAAGATGTGCGGGACTCACTCATCGTTAATCGATAGTCGTGACCACATCACGCTCTTCAATCACTGATATAAAAAAATAACGGCATCAGATATCGCAGATATTAAAAAATAACGATATCTCTACTTATAATTTGGTAATGCGTGATTTTGTTGCCCGAATTGATATTTAGTTACCGAAATGTTGAATTATTCAAGTTTTTTAGATTTATAGTTGCCTGTAATACAAAGTCGTACCGGAACTGCAAGATGTTTGGGGCTCTTCAAGGAGCATAGTAAAAGCGATTAATATAATAAAAAAATACATCTTTCAATACAAGATTTTTTTCAGCTGTTCATAAACTAATTTTTTCCGTTTGCGAATATTTAAAGGATATTGAAGCTGCCTAATCTCAAGTTTGCAAATAAACGCGCTTTTATTTGAAAACATGAAATTAAGGACCTTCATTGTCCTTTAAATATTTTGAATCGGAAAACGTATTTTTTAATGTTTAGTTTATTTTATAAACGGCTGAATAAAATCTTGTTTTCAATAATGCATTTTTTATTTCATTTTTTTTATTTTTTAGTTTTTATTATGTAAATAAATAGTTTGGTAATTTCTAAACAACTTTTATATGTTTATGAGCAGGACTCCATAAAACTTCTTACTTGTATTATAAAATCTCGAATCATATAATGATTAATCGATATTTTGTGGGTATATATGTAATTTATAATAACGTTACCTTATCGTGTTTCCTTCATTGAGCCATTTCACTTGATACCCAGATCATAGCGGTGTCCAGGGAAATTATAAATCGCATTCTGCGGCCGCCGTCATATTGGATTTAAAATGACGACACTTTGCTTATGATGTTTCCCGATCAAGCCCTTCCATTTGAAACCCGTATAAAAAGTATAAATCGGTATTTTACGATGGACGCCATATTGCATTTGCAATGACGTCACTTTACTCATTGTTGTTTCGCTCATCAAGCCCTTTCATTTGATACCCATATCATAGGGGTCACTATGGAAATGATGAATCACCATTTTGTAAAATCCGCTATTTTGGATAATAGTTAGATTTTGCATTGTTTTGTTAAAGTTAACTGATTGAAAATTCAGTTCCAAGATTTATCCAACACATGACAACCGACATACATACTACTTTTAAACTGGTCAAGTAAAATAAAAGCTTTCAAAATACTCTCGCTATTCAATGAAGACCTTGAATTTGACAACAAGCATGACCTTAAACGTCAAATCAAGATCAAGACGATTTTTCTAAATGGGACATTATACTTCTGACCAAGAAAATGAACAGAACGAAACATTTTACGTTTAGATATATGATCTTGAACATTATTTTGACCTTTAACGCCTTTAGCCATGGTCATGTCTGAAAGTAAAATTTGTAAAAAAGTAAAAACCATACCCGGGATCAAACGTATAAAGTACCATGCAAAAAATTGTTTAGACCTTGGTGTGACTGTCTGGTCAGGGTAAGTTTTCTGTTCATAGTCAGGGAAACCGAACCCCCGTCTGTCCTATTTTTGCTCTATCTTTGGAAAAAATTGCGAAATCTTGTCAAACAATGTTGTACGGTGACCTTGACAAGGACATTCATGATTAAAATAATGTTTACGCAAGCTTCTAGATAAACTTCAAACATTCCGATCTATTTATTTTAGAGGTAAAAAGTCTTAACATTGATTTGACCGTCAAGGTTATCGTAGGTCATCTGTGAATAACCTGAAAAAAGGTGAGGCTACTACTACCTCTAGGTTCTTATTTTTGGATTATCTTTAAAGACCTCTGATTTTTTCCAAGTTTTAGGATGACCTTGTCCAGGACATTCAAATTCAGTAATTGTTACCCAAGATCATACATGGACGTAAAATTTTTCAATCCGTGTGTTTTTGGAGTTAAAAGTATAGAATTCGTCTTGAGCTTAATTTGACCATCAAGTTCATGCTCAAGATCAAAATCAATAAATAATATGGAAAAATACTAAACTCCAACTATTTTGCTGTCAGCATATGTCTTGAATATTCTCAAATATCTTGCTGTTCCGAGAGTCTTGAATCAGTCTGTATAACGTGAGGCAAATATGCAAGTGGTGAAACTTGTTATCAGTGAATATTACATGTGAAGCTTCAGAAGCTTCGTAAACTGTTCCAAACAGCTTGCTTCCTATAGCTATAAATGCAACTACTGCATAGACTATCGAACTTTTTTAAACAAATCACGGTCATTCCTTATTGAGTTGCCACTCAGCAACTTTAGTTTGATTGCCCGCCAGTTTTCAACAGAATCATGAGAAGATCGATGTATAGGTCTTTTGGGACCACCGTAGGCTATTGGTTTCCATTTGTCTAGCTAAAGGTCGGACAATAGATGGATGTAACTTAATAAGAATGATTATGGTCCTATATAAAGGGCATGCAGTTATTTTGATGAGATGGTACTCTTAAGGACATCTGTCACTATCTTAGATATTATTCTGTAAAGATATTTTGAAAAATATTTTTACTGAATTCAGCTTTCAATTTTTGAGAGTTAAGATTCTGCCATAGAAATGAACTTTTGTAATAAGATTCGTAAAACTAGCTTTAAAGGTATCAATAAATGTACCCTCCCTCAGCTATACTGATGTGTTTACAAAATAATATGAGTAAGACGTGTTATTCTAATTTGGATTAATCTATATTCAGTAAAAAATAATTTACATACATTATTGCTCCAATAATCTCAACAAATTTAGGAAAATGCATCAGCTTCCTCCTTCTTCTTCCTCAACCTCTCCAACTTCTCCTGGACTTCGAACACTTTGAAGACGAGCGCGACGATGGTCAAGATGAAAGTGATCAAAACAAGTGCCAAATATAGTACCGAGCTGACCATACAGTACCACTTCCTTGGTGGACGATTCCGGATCTTGTCTTGCTGACTCATCTTCATGGGAGGTTCTGGATCCACTTCCTCATCCCCTTCACCTTCAGGATGTTCGTAGGGTTCCATTGGATAGTACTGTTCGTAGTACTTGGCTCCTGAAGCGGCGGATGTGGGAAAGTACGTCAACGACGCGACTGTCATCGCTTTTCTGCGTGGTACCTTGAGTTCGAGATTGATGAATGGGCTGTCTGTTTAGACGGCGAGACGTGGATATGCTAACGGGTAGATAGGGTGGTACTACTACTACTACTACGAGTATTAATATCTATCCGTTAGGCAAGAATATGTATAATTAAAGTTCACTGCAACTATTAATTTTACAGGACCATTTTACAAACTAATAATTATCACTAGAAGCAATCCTTTTATATAATCTTAACGTATAATATTATAGTCTAATCATAATAGGCGAAACTACTCCTGGCTTGCGAAGTAATTTGTGAAGTCTGAGAAATTAGGCCAATGCTCGGTATTAGTCCCTAAGACATTATCTAAAGCTTCAGCATCTTGTATAGTTCTCAAGGGTATTCTAATTGTTTATAACAGATTTGATATGCCTCCAACGTTCGCTTGACATTTGTCAGTGTCAAGTATAGTGCTATAGAAATCCAGTAAACCAAGGGGCGTGGTAGTGTAATGGGAAGGAGTAACGATTGTAGAGAAGCAGGACGGAGGTTCGAATCCACAAAGCTCCTTTTTTTTAATTTGGAGAAATAACTGATTTTTCACATTATGTGTACTTTTATTCCGATTAGACAGTGTTTTTCACGCCGCAGATAATGTAAGCATGCCAACAGGAAACCATATTGTTTATAATTTTTTTATATGGCTTTGACAAAATTTCAGAAATACAATGTCGGATCATAGCAGATAATTTTTGTAAACATATATCTTGGATGTGTAAATCATTAACCAGCAATAATGAAAGACATCCGAAATTTTGTTTGTGATAATACGATTAAGCTTTCGAACGCGGTCAAATTAGGTACCCCTTGGAGTCGCACAGGATGCATATAAAATTAAGTGAGCCGACTCACAGTTTCTGTATTTTTCAAGTATTATGGCAGCATAACGCAAAGGTAATCTCCCTTTTTGAGAGTCATGGGAAAGAGGATGCTCTGACACAACATGAAAGTTAAATATACAAAAAAACCGAGAATTGAGCAATCTCAATTACATTTTAAAACGTGGAAAAAAATATTTTTTGCATCTAAAATTTGTATTGTTGTGCTTAGAATGAAACTGATTGAAAGTTTTATTGAAATTTTGTGTGTACTAACCATACTAACCATAACGCTGCTTATTTTTTTCGTATTGTTATCTGCAAATTGTGTTCAACCACTAACTTGAGATAGTTAACTTGTAGTGCATTAAATAAGCTTTCAATACGTAGTAAAAGGTGAATAGAGATATTTTACCTATAAGTCTGCCTCTCAGATAATATATAATAAAAGTACACATAATGTGAAAAAGCATTTATTTCTACAAATTAAAAAAAATAATAGAAAAAAAGGAGCTTTGTGGATCCTGAAAACTATACAAGATACAGTGCTGAAACCTTAAATAATGTATTAGCATTTTTAACTCACAGTCGTTTTAATCGTAGGAGATTGTATACTATATTAATAATTTTATAAAAAAGATCCAGGAAATTATATTGCTTCGTAAAGAAACTGGAATACGTGAGCTACTTATTTGCAGTCATCAATAATGCAGTCATTTAGCACATGCTACAAACTAACTAGTCTGAGACATTTTGAAACATAATTGTGTCTTCAGGTTGCGTGCTAACTTTATAAACAGTTCAGAGCATTTCAGTATGAAATATTTTTTTTTACAAGCTTTAAAGCTCATCTGTGGCCGTGTAAAAATGTCAGCTCTAAATCTGTATGTAGACAGAAATCTTTAAACAAATTTTCTACGCAACAGAAGGTGATAGACACATCCGCTTTGTTTTAAAATGTGTATAATAACGTATGTTTTTCGAATTTCGCACCAAATATGTTCAATTACTCACCAATACGAAATGTTTGAATTTGCCCAGAAGACAGAACGTAACCCTGCATTTTTCGTAAAAAATAACAATTATATCTCGGAATGGTTTGTGATCCATATCAGCAAGGTAAACTAGTGTATTTTGCTATAAAACGCCATTTGAACAAATCCTGTACATTGCTTAGTAAACTACAGTGATGGCCGGAAGAAGGGTGTTTCGAGATAAACAAGCCTACGAATTTAAAGAATCTCAAGTAGCTGCATGAAATCATCGTCGCATTAGCAACAAGTGGCAAAACCTGCATTTTGCCTCGGTTTTCGGCCAAACCTTTTTTTATTAGTCAGATCTTTATTCGGTTTCATTTTATAGGTCTTATAAATACCTAAAAATCTCATTCGAAGAGTTTTTTCATTCCTGCCATCACTTCCAATTGAATCCCAAAAAACACGTTTTTCCATTCTTTGTTGTTGAATAAAAAGTTTTCCCACACAAGTTGGGGTACCCATGTCCATGTTTTAAATACGCCCCTTGAACAAATTGCATCAATAAAATCAAACTTTACAATTATTTCGGGGAAATTTGCTAATATGATTAGACTATTAATAGCATCACTAAGAACTCGCAGACGTGCTCTGCTCTACACAGAAAGCACTACAGAAGCTCGTACGGTTTGGTTCTCTTCAATAGTCTGACAGTATTGGTTGTTCAGCTGCTGAAAAGCTCCTATAATGTGATGAAGTGTCTGGCAACTACTTTCCTGAGCTCGTTGGTAACCCGAGACAGATTCAAATTGCGATGAATATTTCCATCCCAACTGCCTTTGATCACGCTTGTCGGAACTTTATTTTGATATCTTTGAATAATTTCGATGTTCGTATTCTTGAAACAGTCTCCTAGTTGACAACCATATAGTCATACAGGTTTTAAGATCCGATTATAGATCATGATTGTGTTATGGAACGATAGGAAGCATTGTAATCGCGAAATTTGTCAAAAATGAGATATTATGTTTTTTGTATGTTTGTTGGTCTGTTCGATAATCCGTGGCCCGTCTGAGACTTGGAAAGTACTGGATTAAATTGTAACAAAGACTAAAAAGATTCAAGTTTTTGAAAATTGGTGCAGTGGCATCGGAGAAAGGGGCCAAAAACACAAAAATAAAAATCGTTCAATCTTGATTTTTTGATGTTTCAGAGGATCCTGATCATTCTCATAAAAATTTTTGTAGGGGTTGAAAATCGGGGTTTTGGGGTTGTAGAGAAGCAAAAAATTGGACGAAGGGGGGGTGGTTATATTTCAATTTGATAATTTAATTTTTTTGATACGCACCTATTAGACATATTTCACACATCATAGATTTCGTCGAACATTTGCCCTGAAAACTTGGAAAACATAAAATATGTTCCATATATATCTGCTTCTGCTCCCAGAGGCGTATCGGTCTTGGTAATTGTTCTGGCATTACTGCTATTCTGCTGAGTCATGTTGTCAGGTATCGGTGAGAGACGAACTTGCAAGACGGACTACCGGTAGAGCACGGAAATAATGTCCACGGACTCCCAGTATGGACCTGTTTGACTGACTTAAGCCATTTAATTTCTCGGTTATACATGTTCGTAACTAATTTTTTCTCAGAGGGTCCAACTTGTACTAAACATATTCCTTTACGAACTAATGACGGCGCTGCATGATGAGTGCAGAGTCAACCTACTTGACGCCATCAGTTTACTTCCCACATCATGAAGCAGGAACTATTTTAATCGCAAAAACTCGCGAAAATGAGATATTTTGTTTTTGTATTGGGATATTATACGTATATCTCGAATGACTGTCACCTCTTTTCGTTGGTCTGTTTGTCGGTCTGTCTGTTCGCTGATCTTTGGCCCCGCTATAACTCGGAAAGAACCGATCCAAATTCAACTAAATTTTTACATAAAGTTACTACTATGCCAAGGGCAAAAGGCTTTGCTGTTCTCGAAAATCTGACCAGTGGTGGCGAAGCTAGGGGCAAAAACTGACTTATACTGGTTCTACTCTAAGGTCTTACAGGATCACTGGCAGCAAACGACAAAACTTTGGACTGACACACACACAAATATATTTGGATGGAACATGTACAATAAACAGGCATATTGAGCTAAAAAAACTGTAATGTACACTATTAACACGTTAAAAGCGTATGCGGATGGTAAAGGAAAATAATATTAATATGACATTAAAAAATCGGTAGTTATATTTGTGTTGTGAACAATGTGAAGATACACTGATTTTCATAGCTCTCAAACAGTAAAGATACAATAGGTTGCAAAGGTTGGCTTAGATACTATACTTATTCAAAGTTCATTTGACGAGAAGAACATAGTCAATCTACTTGACGCCGTTTTTAGTACGGTGATTCCAGTTGGTGTCATACCTAAGTATTCAGCGCTTACCGCTTATTTGAGGTGGACTTGTCAATGCTCGGTTCGGAAAGTAAATCAGTTTCAATTTGTCGTTTAATTTACCGCCTTTGGGCCCATTTCACTAAACTATTGATAGCAGTCAGGGTTACACTAACATTCTAGGTATGTAATGTCATATTATTCTCTGTCGTTGACAGTTTGATATGACGTGGATGTAAACAGTTTACTTCAGCTAACAGAATTGCAGTTTTGTCTGGGTGAACGATACTCGATTTACTGGTACATTTTTAATTTCACAATGTCAGCATAAGTATTCATCAGCAATCGACTGTGGCACCAACAATGTTTCTGCTACATGTTGATGGTGTAGTTAGTTCCACGGCCACAGCACTTTAAATCATCTCATTCAATATCTTAAAACTGATCTCACAATGCTTTTATTCCATAGAGCTACATCTCTAATGGGAGACACCCTGTTCATGAAATGTGTGACGCACAGGCATTCTGACTAACGTGTGCACATTACAACGGTCTAGCGTGAACCAATTCAGATAAAGCTTATTGCAGGTCATCAAAACTCAAAGAGGGAATAAATTCTGCATACTCGCTATTGACAACATTTTTAATTTAAAGTTTCGATAAAGCTATCTATCTGACACAATAGTCTGGCATTTGTCTCTCGCAGTTGCGATCCAATTTATTATAAACAGGCCATTGGCATTGTTAAAGTTTATCTAACTGTG